GAAATCTTCTTCAAAAAGGCTCAAACTGCAATTTAAAAGTACACTTTCAAGCTTTTTGTCAACTGCAGTCAAAACGGCATTTTACAAAAATCATACTTCAAAATTCATAAACAAATTCTTACTATCAATTCGATATTTCAAAATGTTCGGGATCCTGGGATTAATGCAAGCAAACCCGGGATCCCGGGATTAGCATCTCTAGTAATAACCAAACAGTACGAACAAATGAAAAGCAACAAATTAAAAGTTAATTTCTAGCCAGGAACATTAAATCACATGCGGTAATACTCTAACATTTTTATACCCGAGCGCACTTGTGCCCAATGGTATTATAACTTTGTTCACATAAAGATTGTTTGTAACAGGCAGAACGAATCGAGATAGATATAGACAAATCTATACATAAATGATCAGAATGAAAAGAGAAATCGATTAAGCGGTGACTGTCTGTCCGTCCGGCCGTCCGAGCACACGATAACTCGAGTAAAAATTGAGATATCTTAACGAAACTTGGTACGTGCACTTCTTTCAGGCGTAGGACGGATGGTATTGAAAATGGACAATAACCACGCCTACCTCCCATATAACGGTAATTTTCAGAAATACGAAAACTGCGATATTTTAGTAACTACTGAAGATTATTCACTCAAAATTGATATTTACAATAAATTTTAGAGGAGAAATAAGAATATTATACATTTTTGGAAAATGGGCGTAGCCACGCCCACTTATGGTTACATGTGTATATCTTGGTAACCGCTTTACCAATTTCTTCCAAACTTGGATATAATCAACAGTTTTAAAAAAATTTAATATTTTAGGCAAAAAAATTTTTTTTCTTCATACATTTATTTTTACCGGCAAAACTGTTGATTATATAGAAAAACGTTATATGAACAGATTAAAGGAATTGTAATTTTTAATTTTTTTAAATTTGTTTGAGCAAAATCGGACTAGTGGTTCTCGAGTTATGTCAAAAAAAGACCACCAAAGGGGACAATTTCCCCTATATGATAGTTATATATATATCTCGATTCCTAGACGTGACCCAGCGAAACGCCGGGACACGTATAACTTGTTTTTGACCGATATAACATTTCCCGTTCGTTTCATCCCATCCCGATTTTGACTGTCGCATAGTGTTATCTACGTAAGAGGACGTGTTAAAATAATTTGACAGCCGTTTTCATTGTGATCGGGCTATTACTCACTTTTACTCGGAGAAAAAGTCCGGGCTGTTTCGGTCAGGAAGAAGAAGGCACCTACGATACAATATGTTCCAACTTTCGCTCTCTATTCCACATTTTTTGAGTACGGAATGATTTCTGGCCAGTTGTTGTATGACGCGAGATCCCGCGTTGAGTACGGGAAGGAACTAATCACACGATGCGGCTATGCCGAGTAACAATGCTACTGTGCTATCTTGGTAATAGTTAGAAAAGTTAGTTAATAACATACTCGTACGATACTAACATAATCTTGCTGCTCACTAATATGTAGATTAGGTTGAAGCGGCTGCCTTCATCCAATATAGGAGAGAGGCACACTTAGGCCCAGTAGGTCCGTTGTGATACCAATTGAGAGCTCGAATTCTAACCCGTCCGTTCACCTAGAAGTGGAACCAGTTAGTTAGGTTTATAGGGCTTCCGCACGAGGCGATTTTTCAGGCAACTTTTGCGTTCAACTCACGCACGCAGGGTTGCACGAAAAAAAAAATGAATGGAAAAAATATCAAAATATAGAAAAAATATCAAAATATTCACAATAAAAAGGCGTTTGCATTGTTCAACTTTGCATGCTACTTTCGGTTGAACGGCGTTTCAACTAATCGCTTTCAACAAAGTTGGTCGCCAGCCAACATTTAGCCATTCAACTTTTTTTCGTGAAACCTTGCGTGAGTTGAACGCAAAAGTTGAACGCAAAATCGCCTCGTGCGAACACCTTTTCAGAAAGCGCGATAATTCGTAAATGCCTACTTCACTTAGTCCGGGAGACAATCAAAACGGTGGTGGTGAAATGAACGTCTTCTCGTCCACATGAGGGCGGGGCAACGACAGAGGTAGTGTTCCACACTCTCGATTTCGTCCTCGCCGCGACAACCACGGCAGAAGTCATTAGCCGGCAAACCCATTCTGCTAGCATGCCTTCCCATTAAGCAGTGGCCCGTAATTATACCGGTCACCATCCTTAGTACGGGACGTTCTGGCCGAATGAGTGCGTCGGATCTTTTCTTGTCGAATTTGGGCCAGATTTGTGAAGTCGTCCCACACGTGGGTTCTTCCGACCATTTTTGTTTTTGTTTGCCCTCTCAACGAAGTATGTCCTGAGCAATGTCTTACAGGTAGATAGAGGTATGCCCGCTGCATGAGAGGAGTTGACGCCCGACAGGGTGGTTCACTTCCGCGCAAGCTCGTCCGCCGCACAGTTACCCTGAAAGTCCCTGTAGCCCGGCACCCACACGATATCGTTAAGGACTTTCCTACATTCCAACGCAGTTATAGATGATGTCTTGCAGCAACGCAGTGACTTAATAGCTGATTGGCTATTGGAGTATACCACTGGGAAGACACTGCACTAGTCTGGTAGCCTAAAGCAGAGATCTAGTGAGAGGTCCTTTTAGTATATCCCACTCCCTACACTTAAATTTAGTTTAGAGCTATCCGTGTATATGGCTGTTGAGTTATCTTGGAGGCCCCAGACCGAGTCGTCCTCCCAGTCCTTCCTCGAAGGGATACGAGTATAATATGGGTACCTGAATGTTTCGGGGTAGTTGGTTAGGATGTTGGTGTGACCGAATATGTTGTCTTTCCATTTAGACAGTGCATTTATTGTTACTGCAATGCAGTCTTGCTTTCCTGTAGCTTCCCAAAAAGGTCTACGAGCAGAAAGTTTAGAAGTGTTTCCATAGCTTCGGTGGGTGTGGATAGCAGTGCACCTGTGATTAGCATCCATGCCACCCTTTGAACCTTGGTAAACTTAGAATTTGTGAGCGATTCATCCAGTGATGTCTACCAGACAGTGACGCCGTACACTATGGTGTAAATACAGTGAACTATGTGCCTTCTTGCCTATAGCCGTTTTGCAGGAGTAGAGGGCGGTGATGGCCTTTTGTTTTCCGTGTGAAGGGAACCATGGCCGTTTTAGCCGGGTTTGTGTTCAGTGCATTCTCTAGACCGAGTTTCCACGATACTTAAGGCATTCTACAACAGTTCTCTCAGGATTTGTGGGTGTTTACCGGTTGCAGTTAGGACAAGATCATCGGCATACGCAATAGCGTTGTAACTCGCGTCCTGTAAGCGCATGAGCAGGGTGTATACCGTAAGATTCCAGAGGAGTGGTGAGAGTACTCCTCCTTGAGGAGTGCCCCTTGTCGCATATCTTGTGATGTGAGCTCCACCCATCGCCGATTAGATAATTCTCCGATTGAGGAGAAGACGGACAAAGTCTATCAGTGATCGATAAAGACCGATATGGAGCATAGATGGTGTGATCGCCTCTCGGAGCACATTATTAAAGGCCCCTTCTATGTCTACAAAGATATCTAGTGTTAGCTCCTTGTATGCTGAGGATTTTTCAATATTTCCAACTATTTTGTTGAGTGCGGTTTCCACAGATTTGTCTTTCGAGTAGGCGTGTTAGCAGTCAGATAGCTCCTTAGGATCCATCTTATGCCGAAAGAATGTGTCCAGTATAATTTCCAGGATCTTTAGAAAGAAAGAAGAAAGGCTGATTGGTCGCCTACCGTCCGGTTGGGGCATAATATGTCAGATGCATCTTGCATCTCCGCTGGGAGAATGCCATCCAGCGCAGGGGATTTGAAGGGTTTAAAAGATTTTATGGCCCTGTCCACATTCCTGTGGGTTACGATGGCTTCCCCCGCCGGAAATGGTCGTAGAGTAGGGGCCGCCGCGGTGCAGCCAGGAAAGTGTGTATCAACAAGAATCTCTAGCAGGGAGAAAAGGGACTATTTGATAATACCTCCCGTAATCGGTTGGCTTCCAAATGTTCCTCAATATTGTCACAGTGGTTTTTCCATGATGTCCTCTGAGCCCTTTTGATGGCTCGCTTGAAATTTTTTAAAGATTCCTTATAGGAATGCAACGATCCATATCTCTTCGCCTTATTAAAAAGCTTCCTGCTTTCCTTCCTCAGGGCGGCGATTTCTTCGCTCCACCAGTTTGGCTTCCTTTTCATCTTCTAAATTGTGATAGGCCAGGAGGCGGAAAAAGCCGCGATACAGGCTTTGGTGATATGGTCCCCTGCTTCTTCAATTTCGCTTCATCAGATGTTTTCGGTAAGCGAGACTTACTGTGAGAAGCGATTCTAAAAAGGAGGTCCGAGAGTATATTCCTTAACTTGTTCCAGTCGGTTCGTCTCCTGTTTCTGTAAGCGATTGAAGATGGAGGTTCGAGAGATGTCTTTGAAATTTATGTGTCTATGGTAGAAAAAGTAGTGGTCATTTGAGACATGCGACTCACTGATATTTTCAAGAAAGCTATCCGACACAAGAGAGATATCTAGTACCTCCCTTCTGTTAGAGGTTACAAGTGTTGGCCTACTTCCGATATTAAAAATTGCTAAGCTATTTGAGAAATTATAATCGATAAGAGACTCACCCCCTTTGCTAATGTCCGTGGAACCGCACAGCGAATGATGAGCTTTCGCATCGGCTCCGCTAACGATGGGAAACTTCCTCTTTTTGGCCTCTTTCACAACGTCCCGCAACCGAGTTGGGGGATAAGTGGCGTGGTCATGTGCTATGTATGATAAGACTAGCCAAAGTAATTTGGATCGAACTTCCACGCTCACTAATATGTATTATATATTATATATTTACATAGGTCACAAGAAAAAAATTTGGATTTTTCCCAAAAAAGTTCTCTCCTTATATTCTGGGACAGGTTTACATATTTCTATATATATATATACGTACATACATATGTACAATGTAAATTTATGTATGCGTCTACTACGTTTTTAATATTAACTGTATTTTATAGGTGGAAATGATGGAATTGCCAGAAGGAGATTGGCGCACTCTTCATACAGGAGTTCGAAACTGCATCTGCGATATAAAGGGATTGGAACCTTTCCGTGAATACCGTTTTCGTGTTCGAGTTAAAAATAAGTATGGTGTTAGCGATCCTAGCCCATATGTCCAGACGTACAGGTAATGAATTCAAAAAAAAATTCTAATGTTAATCCTATAAGTGTGCCAAATTTAATTCAAATACGTCCAGCCATTTTAGCGTGAAAGAGCTACAAAAAAAAACAAACTTATCTACTCACAAACTTTCACATTTGTAATAGGGGTCTTCCCCTAAACTCGTAAACGAACTGTCAAAATTTGTATGGACCTCTACTTACAAGCCCCGAGGATCGAAGATTTTCTACTAAAATGTATGATAAAATAATGAAAACAAATGAAAAAATAATAGGTGGATAAAATATATAAATTTCATCCCCCAACTGTATTAAAATTGGTTCTCTGCTATTTCTCAAATTTCATGTTATTACTAGCAATTACCCGGCGTGCTTCACTGCGCCTTAAATGTATTTTTGTGTTGTAATTCTCTCAAAACTAGGGTTGCCAGACGTACTGCTTTTGGAAGTAAACGTACTCCTTTTTATGGCAATGTACTCCCAAAAAAAAATATCTGGAAATGTGCTCCTTTATTAGCTTTATTAGCTTCTTTTGTACTCCTTTTTCCAGCTAGTAATATTTTGTCATATACAGGGTGTAAAATAATATCTGTTGCACAGTTTTTTTTTTTTTAAAAAATAAAAGGGGCCTTTATAGATTTTCCGAAAAAGTAGTTTATTGTTAATTATCCACAGATCCTTCATTTCGGTTTACCGGCGGTAAACACTTTGGGAGAAAAGCGCAAGTCTTCGTCGGTTACTTTATTACATATGTATCTTCTGTAACCATAGGCTGATTTCCCCCATTTGGGTCCTTTATACTCCGTCTTTTGTCCAACATAAGGCCTCATACTCAGCAATCGAAAAGACTCGAAACTGGTGACTAGGAGGGCATTCATTATCTCTACACGTTAGTTCTTAGCTCCCAGCATGTTCGGGTTCGAATGCCGTCAGAGGCAGCATGTAATTTTTAATTTTTGTCTTGGTTTTTATTAATTTCGAAAAAGCATTTGAGAAGTGAAGAACAAAAGCGTGTACAAACGAAAAAATATAACAGCAATGCCATTGTTAATATGTTGGAGCAGTTTTGTGCTACTCTGATGTAAAGCAGGGATGGAGTATATGGTCCTGCCCTAGGACATCCCAATGTTAATTGGACCATATTTTTTATATGAATTGTGGTTAATTTTGGAGTACTCCTTGGTCCTTAGGGAGTACTCTTTACACGCATGCATGGAGTAGTCGCGATTTTTGCAGGGCGTATTAGCAAAAAACCGATTGGACTCAACATATCTGTGTTCATATGGAAAAGTAGCTTATGTCGAAAGGCTGGCTTTAGTATAATGCGGCATTCCCTTTACACTTTAAACGGCAAGGAATTTTTTGATGAGACTTAATAAGAATATTGACTTGCTAGTATCGGAACTACTTCTTGCACGTTTATTTGCCAAAAGTTCTACAACAGCTCAGCGCCAGTGAGTCATTCGCAATCGTATGCTGCGAATGCCAGCCTTTCCTAGACTTTTCCATACGAACACAGATATATTTCTTTACAGCATTTATACCCCTGTCTTTATAGCGCACTCGATAAAGTCTTACTCAAAAGTAAACAAAATCTGCTGTTTTTAAACGACATTTTTTTAATAAATAATTTGCGCTGGTTGACCGAAATGGAAACGAACAATAATTGTAATTTATTATAACAATAGTTCGAATTTAGAACAGGCTGTATAAAGAAAACCAGCCTATTGTCACTTCACTTTCCAATGGTGCTGATTGCTCCAAGAATTATTTAGAGATTTAGAGCATAATCAACACAATATATGCACATAAATATGTATTATTTCACAGATCTCAGGGTCAGCTTAGAAATACGTCACCAAAATTATATAAAATTTAAGTAGGAATTATTTTTATTTATAACGTAAAAGCGCTATCTGACCCAATTTGATAAGTATATTTCCCCTAAAGTTAACCCATTTTATTTAATTTGTCTCTCGTGAAAATATATATTTTATTTAAAATTTTGGTAAAAGTGCACTTTAGCGAAGGTAGGTCAAAACGGACGGAAAAAGTTCGAGAGTGGTATCAATCGACGCGTCTTAACTCCAATAATAACAATCCGAGACCGGAAATTAACATTTTTAATTAATGAATGAGTTATTTGCAAAAAACACTTGCACTTTCCGCAGTATGTTTTGATGAATTTCACGCAAATGAATGGAATAAATGAACTTAATTGAACACGTATTTATTAGTTTTTATACATTTGTGATGTTTTAAGTGTACACTTTCGCGAAATTCTGTATTTAATAGGAATATTCCGATGTTGAAAATCCGCACAACAATCTTGCGTAGTTAGTATAAATAACATGGAGGGAAATTAGTGTTGCCACTCTATTAAAAATAAAATGGAACTAAATTGCTGCTGCCACTGTATTAAAAAAGTTTTTGTCCGTCCAACTTCTTTTTGCGTAGGCGGCCTTCGGCCGCGCTTAGGGATTATAACCCTCACAACGTAGAATTCTCCTTTCTGTGTTGCCAAAGAAAAGGGGCAGAACACCTTTTGCAGAGAACACCTTTCTGTGTAGGCGGCCTTCGGCCGCGCTTAGGGATTATAACCCTCACAACATAGAATTCTCCTTTCTGCATGCGAAGAAAAGGAACAGAAATCCCCTTTTCACAAAAGCATATTTCATGTGCATTATTTGGGTGTTTTTAAAGTTGAAATACAAACTTTATTAATAGAGTGGCAGCACTAGTTTTCCTTCATCTTATTTATATTAACTACACAACATTGTTGTGCGGATTTTCACCATCGGAATATTGCTATTAAATACAAAATTTCGCGAAAGTGTACACTTAAAACATCACAAATGTATAAAAACTAATAAATACGTGTTCAATTAAGTTCATTTATTCCATTCATTTGCGTGAAATTCATCAAAACATAGGGCGGAAAGTGCAAGTGTTTTTTGCAAATAACTTATTAATTAATTAAAAATGTTAATTTCCGGTCTCGGATTGTTATTATTGGCGTTAAGACGCGTCGATTAATACCACGCTCGAACTTTTTCCGTCCATTTTGACCTACCTTCGCCAAAGTGCACTACTACCAAAATTTTCAGATATGTACATATATTTTAAATTTTCGCTTTAATTTTTGTATCCTTTTAATATTTAATTAGATATCTTAAGATTAAAATAAGCTTAAAACGAAACAGCACAGCAACCCTTTTCTGTTCATCTTGAGAACACAAAACCCTCTTTTGTTAAAATTCGGCGCTGCACAAAATCCTGGCTTTTATATTTTCCAACAAAATACCACTTCGCAACCCTGGATTTTCACGAAGCATTTCATTCGGGTCGTAGTTTTGCAACTTCGGGCCATTCGGTGTTGTATGCCATATTGGCTGCCATATTGTTCACACTGTCATCGCCATATTGAACACCCTGTCAACTATCTGTCAACCCTAAGATATCTCACTTGTATTCTTCCACAATGCTCCTTACGCTTTTTGAATACAGCACCTAACAAAAAACAACTATTTTGAAGAAAGAGCGCCTTCACGTATTATATGTTAGTTATTAATTTTTACATATGTTGCAGCCCCATTAAAAAAAATAAAAGCTTATCCGGAGACCACATTCTTTGACTTTTTACCTAATTTTTTAGTCCAATGAACTTTGAAAATCTTATTATTTTTAGAAAGGTGGCAACCCTACTCAAAAAATAATAGATTATTGAACATCTGGAGTCCAAGCCTTTTCACTTCACATCTCACTTTTTGTATTCATACTATGTTCGAATGTAATAGTATTTTTTAAATATGTGGCAACCCTACTCAAAAAGTAATACATTATTGAACATCTAATAGTCGAGCCATTTTATTTAACACCTCACCTCCAACGAACATTGCGGGGTCTCAGGTGGCAACCCTATAGGAACTCAAAGTACAAAAGATAATATTCCTATCGATACAGATTATACTTAAAAAATTTCGTCTAAATCCGTTCATTAGCGTGGTCAAAATATCTCAACTTTCCTTTATACTATATATAGCGACCCCACTTAAAAAATAATAAGGGTTTTTTACATGCGAAGGCCATGCACTTTCATTTGGCATCTCATTTTGTAATCCAACGAACGGCAAAAATCTTTTAACTTTTAATAGGTGGCAACCCTACTCAGAAAAATAACANAGCGTGGTCAAAATATCTCAACTTTCCTTTATACTATATATAGCGCCCCTACTTAAAAAATAATAAGGGTTTTTTACATGCGAAGGCCATGCACTTTCATATGGCATCTCATTTTGTAATCCAACGAACGGAAAAAATCTTTTAACTTTTAATAGGTGGCAACCCTACTCAGAAAAATAACACATTATTGCGCATGCGGCTAAGTCTTTTCGTTTGACAGTGACGGTACAGAACTGATGCCTACGCTTACTATGATTGAATATAGTAATTTTATTAACAGGTGACAACCCTATTCAAAAAAATTATATTAGTGCTTTTCTAGAGGCCAATCCCTTTCATTTCACACCTCATCTTTTGTAATCCAACAAACGGTGCGGATCTTATAGTATTTTAGACAGGTGGCAACCCCATTAAATTCTAAGTAAAAAAAGATCCTTCTCCAGTCGAAACAGAGTATATCTCGTCAAAATCCATTCAGTAGTTTTCGAGATTACCGCGTACAAAGAATCTCGACTTTTCGTTATATTTACTATGTATAGATATTTAAAGAGCTTTATGAAGTAAAATTTAAAAAACAAATTTCGATCTATGACGCATTGTTTATTTTTTTTTTTTTGAGTGTGGGTGTTAGTTAATATCTATTCGAAGGTAATCAGAAAATATGTAAAGTACCGACTTTCTCTTGGAAATTTAATTTATAATCTTATAACTGGTGTCTACTATGGCACCCTTTCCTCAAACGTGTATTAATTCAATAATAAAATACCATATATTTATCTAATTTGTGAGAGGGAGTAACAAAACAAAAATACTTTTAAGACGCAG